ACGCACCCTGACCAGGGCCTGGGAACCTGCAACCGAGGTACATGTCCTTGACCAGAATCCTTCAGTCCATGGGCCAACGCTCTGTCCACTGAGCCACACTGGCCAGGGCTGGGGTTCCTGTTTCTTACTGCCTTTGCACCCTCAAGGTTTTGCACTGGGCTTGTTCTTAGCAAAGACCCAAGAAGTGCCTGCTGGCTGGAGCTGAGCTCAGGCCTCTGCACTGTAACTCACTTCCTGACATTTTCCTCCATCGTCACCAGGGCCTGGACGGGCTCACTTTCCCCAATAAAGATGCGAGAGAACCGGGCCACTCTGCCTGCTGTGGCTACAGAGTCAGGGGACAATGACGATGATGGTGATCGACACGCAAATGGCACAGTCTAGTCCTTTGAGTCAGATTTAAGGGCGAATAAGATTGATCCTAACTGTCTGATAACCAGCATGAAGCACTAAGTAATTATTAAACCAAACCAACACTTACTGAGCGTCTCTGTTATACAGGAGCTCTGGGTCACAGACAAAGAGAAGGAACCGCAGCGGGATGGGAGAAGGGCCCAGACAGACAGGTGGGTCCTGCCCTCCGCTCAGGCGAGGCGGCCGGGTGGAGGGAGAAGCAGGGAGGAGGACCACAGAGACAGCGAAGGCCAGAGAGTGATGGGCACTGTGCCGGCGAGGAGACAGTGGCTGGAAGGGTAGTTAGAGTGGGAGGCGGAGGGGAGGGGCTGGGGGTTAGGGGGGCCTCTGGCTGAGGCTGGATGACATGAAGCAGCCAGGCAGGCAGGCAGGCAGGCAGCAGGCCACACAGATGCAGCAGAAGAGCTGAGGAGGCCCACAGGGCTGGGGCAGAGGAGGGAGGCGGAGGCGGGGGTGGGAAGATTCAGAGAGGGTAGATGAGGGCAGTAGGCCTCGCCCGTGGTTTGGAGGCTCTTGGGGTTCAGTGAGTAGGTGAGAGGGTACTGGCAGGACAGGAGGGGAGGGGGGATGTCATGGACTCCCGTTTTGGTGGCCCTTCCCACTGTGCATTCCTCTCCGCTGACTGCACACGCCAGCCGCCTATGGCAGTGGATGGGGCAGGCCCCTTCCGTTTATGGTTAGTTTAACAAATATTGACCAAGTGGCTTCGATGGGCCTGGAATGTGCTGGGAGCTGAGACACAGGGAGCAGAGACGCCCACATTCCATGTTTCTGGACCTTGGGCCTGAGGGGCCTCGGCCGGTGACTCAGATTCAGGTGCCCACACTGAACAGAGGTGTGGAGACAAGACAGAAAGAGGAACTAATCCTATCTAATAAAGAGGGAATATGCAAATTGACCATCATACCACCACAAAGATGGCGGTGCCCAGTCCCCTCAGCCCTGCTGGAGTCCCCCAATCCTTTCAGCCAAGCCGGGGTGAGGCAGCAGGCACACAGTATGGCTGGACCTGCCTTCAGCCCCTCAGCCGCCCAGGACTGGCCTGAGGCACAGGAAGCCTTGGATGTTGGCTGCCCAGCCACCCAGGGCCACCCCAGGCTCAGGCAACCAGGGCCGGCCGAGGCTTGTGCTGCCGGCAGTGGCAGCAGCAGAGGTGTGATGGGGGTGTCATCTTTCTCTGATCACCGGGTCACCTCCCACCCCTGAGGACCCCCAGACTATGAGATGGGCAGGCTGGGCTGAGGGACCCCCCCTCCAGTGCATGAATTTCCATGCACCGGGCTCTAGTAAACTAAATAAAAACCATAGGTGAGAAAGAGAGGGACATGTTCTCAGGGTAATGACTGCCCACAAACCCGGGCGCACAGCTGGCATGGAGTAAATACGTATGGAATGACAGGAGAAGGAGAACATCTCAGTTTCAGGACTCAGCTTCCCGCCAGCCTCGAGAGCACTGACTGCGTCATCTTCAGCCAAAGGAATACTGAGCCGCAGTCAAAACAGACCGAGCTGGTGCCACCAAATAAGAGATGGCGCCGACAGAGCCGTGTCAGAGGAGAGAGCCAGTCCCCAGATACACACCGGACAAGGCCTTTTCCGTAAAGAAGGAGACGGGACCATGGGTGGGATGCTGCTGACTTTGGCGTGGCCCCGGCCTATCGAAGATGTGAGTCAAGACCTGCTGAGTTGCCCGGCCGGTGTGGCTCAGTGGTTGAGTGTTGACCATGAACCAGGAAGTCATGGCTCCATTCCGGTGGGGGCACGTGCTTGATCCCCAGCGGGGGTGTGCAGGAGGCAGCCGATCAATGTTCTCTCTCAGCACTGAAGTTTCTATATCTCTCTCCTTTCCTCTCTAAAATCAGTAAAAACATATATTTTTAAAAAGATCTTTGGATCATTAAACCAAAGAGACCGGCCCATCTGCCTCAGCAGGGGGAGCTCAGGATCAGACGCAGGTTTGCTGTCCTCGCTTTGGCCTCGGGTGGCGGGCTGTGGAGGCTCATTGCCTTAAAGCCATTACCCAGCTGGGGAGTGACAGGCCCTGCAAGGACCAGCAGCGGAGAGCGGAGAGCGAGGATTCTGAGCCCCTCGGCGCCGAGCGTCTGAGGGTCAGAGACAATGCAGAGCACGGGCCTGGCCTCATGGAGGGGCCCGAGGAGCCACCTCCAGCTCCGCCTCCGCTCGCCTCGGCAGCTGCTGCTGGCCTCTCTGGAAGCCGCTCTGGCAAACGCCTCGGGCACAGGGGTCAGAGGTGAGGGGCTGCTCCATTTCGGGAAGAGGGCTTGCTGAAGGCCATGGGTGTCGGGGATGATGGGCAGGGAAAGGTGGGTGCTCCTTAGGCCTCTGCATGCAGTTGGGGGTCCACAGTGTCCGTGGCTTTCCTGAGCAGGCGGAGCCAGAGTCCATCGGGAGAGGGGGCCGGAGAGGACGGGCTGAGCGATGCAGGCGCAGATAGGACGCTGGGATCTGCTGGGCCCTGCCCTCATCCAGGATGCAGAGCCGAGAGGGTCCCTGGGGACATCCCCAGAGGAAACAGGCGGACGGGACATGTCTGGCCCTGGAGCTGACGGACTGAGAGCCCACCAGAGGTCAATGGTGTCACCTTCTGCTCTGCTGGAGGCGTCTCTGTTTATCCCCAGCCTGGCCCAGCCCCTGGCCACACTGCCATGGTCAGGCCCAGCCCGGCCCACAGGCAGGCTTGCCTTTTGCTCTGTGCTGGGCTGCGGCCGGGCCAGGCTGTGCCCTGCTGACTCAGTGCCACAGGGCCTGACACACAGATCCCGCCCAATGAGCTCCACGAGGGCTTGTCTGGGAGGAAAGCTCAGATCCCAGAGCCCAGGAGGGCCGGGCGGGAGGAGCTGAGGGGGATCGGGCAGGGGTCAGGCTGCCTGGACACACCTGCCGGCTGCCGGTGGTCAGAGGTCACCTTGCCTGCTCCTCGGTTGGTTACTGGTGGCGGCAGCAGATTCATCAGGACCCAGATGTGGAGACAGGACACTGTCAATGCATCGGGCATGTTCCATGGTGAGCAGTGTCTTCCGTCCACGCCAGCTCAGTCAGTCTGAGAACAGCCCCGAGGAAGGAGCTCCGACTCAGAGAGGGAACCACAGCTCCTGGCGATGACGTGGCTCCTGTGGCCTCAGCGCCAGGAGTGGCGCTCCAGCTCCTGGGCCTGGCTCTGGGGCCCGGCGGCTGCTGTTGGCACCTCCCACCCTTCCCGGACCCACGTGGGTCACAGCTGGTGCTGGCCTTTAGCTGCTCACTGCCCTGCACTGCAGTCTGGTGCACGTAGTCAGGTGCCACCCACACGCACGATTCCCCCACCACTCCAGCCTTCCTCAGCCGAGGCACCCCCACCTTCGCTTGGGTTCTGGCTCTGGGGCGTCATCCTGGAACAGGGGTGAGAGGCCTGCCCCGAGGCGCCTGGGAAAGCGCCTACTGAGTGCGTGGCACCAAGCAGTCTTTATTGAGACCGGCCTTCTCTCTGCTCTTCCGTTGGACGTGCACCTTGCTCACCCGCTTCTCCTTCCATCAGTTACGTTACCCTCCGCCTCCCGGCTTCAGAGCCCAGAGAAACTCCCGTGGGCTTTGCTGTCCCAGCCTTCCAGCTCAGAGATGCTGGATCCAGACACAGGGCTGGCGTGGGGCTGGCGTGGGGCCGGGGGAGGGGGAGAGGATTACGTGTGCTGCCGAGAAGCCACAAAGACGCAGCCTGGGGAGTGTGCTTTTTTATTTTATTTTTTAATCTTGCCTTGTCTTCAGACTTGCTGTGTGGCCTTGGGCACAGGCCTCAACCTCTCTGAACCTCAAGATCCCGTAGGTCAGGGTCGCTGGGAACTCTCTCGGAGTTGGTGAAGCAGATAAAAGGGTCCAGAGCCACACAGTGGAGGGGTGTCCTCTGCCAGGGGGACGATGGGTCCATGAGGAGAAGAGGAAGAGGCTCGCAGAGGCCAAGGAGCCGAGGGCCAAGCCAGCTCCTCTGCCTGCTGCTCTGGCCCAGCAGCCTGCCGGGCCTGCTTCTCGCCCCCTCGCCGTATGCCCCTCTGCATCCGAGCTCTGGATGGAGTTAGCGGGGGAGCTGGGATGATCGGGGTGCAGGAGAAGGCACAATGCAGGGCACCCAGAAGGGGCTTCCTGGCCCTGGGTCTGTGGTACATTCAGGCTCCCATGGGGGCTAACGCCTTGGCTTCCCAAGGCCTCCCAGGGAGAGCCCAGGGCCAGGGATGCTGCCGTTGCTAGGTGATGGGATACACCGGTCCTCTGGGCCCTGGCAGGTGGTGGTGAGGTTGCTGAGGCAGGGACTCAGCAGGGGGGCCCAGGGGAAGGGGCGGGGGTAGGGGGAAGGGTAAGTTCTGGGCAGCAGAGGCTGCTCACAGGCAGTTCAGAGCAGAGCGTGGACCCTGGTCGCCTCGAGCTTATGTGTTCAGGGGGCTGCCTGAGGGGCCTCACAATGCACTCTGACCCCTGACCCTGCATCCTAGCCTGGCCCACAGCGAGAGGCCCTGTCCTCGCCCCCTGCCTCTTGAGTAAAGCAATTGGATCTCTTTGCTGGGTGGTAGCAAGACCCTCTCTCCTGAGCCTCAGCCATGACAGGTAAGGGAGGGGGCACAGGAGGGCGGCAGGGCTTCACGGGATGAGCCAGGCTGGGGTGCCAGCAGCGTCTGATCCCGCTTCCCGTCTCAGGCGGGCCCACCCTCCGCCTTGCCATGCACCGGCGGGCACAGAGCCCTCGCTCGCAGGACTCAGGACGGTCTCGCTCGCTCTGCCTGGTGCCGGGCGCCGACAGCGGCTGCTTGTCCTGAGGGACTAACCTCGGTCCTGGCCATTGCGTTAGAGTCCGTTTGCCTCGTTCTGAACACAGCGGCGCTGACCTGCCTGTTGGCGATCTGGGCCAGTCCCAGCACACCATGGCTCTGGGGCAGGCCCAGGGCAGCCTCCCGTTCTCTCTGAGCTCCCACAATTCCGCTCCCACGTGGTCTTTCCTTCGGCGGCAGGTCAGGGGCCGAGGGGAAGGAAGGCGCCCCACCTTTGCACAGCCAAGGGCAACCTCTGGGCGTAGCTGAGGGGAACTCAGAGCCGCCAGGAGCCAGGCCAGAGACGCAGGGATCAGCCTGGGGAAGGGAGGGCTCAGGAGAGTGAGGGTCCGAAAGCTCGCTGCTCTCGCGTGGCCGTGGACCTGAGCGGCCGTCCACGAGGCGTCGATGCTCATGAAGGGACCCCACACGCGTGGCCCGCTGCTCAGAGCACCCTCCCTCTCCTGGTGCGGACTGTGCTCCGGTCTGAGCTAAGGGGGCGGAGAGCGGTGAAGGGAGAGGGACTTGTGCTAAAGACCGACTCCATGCACCTGCAGAGCCACCTGGGAGTCCCTACCCCTCCTGGCCCGCCTGCCTCTGGGAGTGGGGCGGCCGTGCCGGGAGCAGCCCACACACGGGGCCCGCAGTGACTGCAGGGCGAGGGGTGACCGTGAGGGCGGCTGCGCCTTCTTGGTCTGGCTGCTCTTGGGGCACCCGCAGGAGAGGGGGAGCTTGGTGGCTGCATCTTGGGTGAAAGTCTGTGTAGAGCAGGGGCAGGGGCAGAGGTGGGGGCAGGAGCAGGGCAGGGACAGGGGCAGGGGCAGGGGCAGGGGCAGGGGCAGAAGCAGGGGCAGGGGCAGGGGCAGGAGCCCTACGCGCGCGCTGGTGTTCCGAGTGGCTGTCTCGCTCTGAGTCCGTGTTTTCTTTTAAATTCTTCCATTCGACCACGCCAGGGCTGGTCCTTCTCGAACCCTGCCCACTGTACTGACTGTTGGGAACTCGATCCAAGTTCCTCCTTATCCTCTGCTCACTAGACAGCAGGTGTCGGGTCCGAGCCCCTCTGCCTGGGGCTGGATCTGGACGCCGGGTCTCAGATAGAGAAGCCATGAGGCTGTGGGTGTGTAAGGCTGAGTCCTTATTGTTGAAGCCAGTGGCCACACAGCCATCAGACAGAACAGGCCCACAGCCATGTCCATGCGGGCAGGCAGGACACCGGCTGGTGAGCATACCTCCACCCCACAAAGCACCATCCGTCCCTGTACCCACAGCTCCAGCTGAGCAGCCGCACGCTGCCTCCTAGACTCACCGCCTCACGTCATAGCTGCCCCTGAGCTCCGGCTCAGCAGCTTCTCCCGTCTCTCCCGCCCAGCTGCTCACGCTCCACCCCAGCTGCTCCCCAGCAAGCTTCTCCTCACTCTCTCCCAGCTGCTTCCTCCAGCAGGCTTCTCCTCACTCCATCCCAGCTGCTCCCCAGCAGGCTTCTTCTCACTCACTCCCAGCTACTCTCTCCAGCAGGCTTCTCCTCACTCCATCCCAGCTGCTCCCCAGCAGGCTTCTCCTCACTCCCTCCCAGCTGCTCCCTCCAGCAGGCTTCTCCTCAGTCCAGCCTACTAGTGGCCAGTAACCTACTTTTATGCCATTTAGACAAAGAAGGCTTCGTGCCCACAGTTACACTGGTCATTTGGGTTACTGAAGGGCACAGTGTGCCGTGTGTCCTGGCACCGCTCATAGCATGTTGGCCTGGTTAGGGTTCCCAGGCTCAGAGACGTGGACATCGGTTTAGGCACATGGCAGGCGCGGCCTCTGGCCATTCTGGGGTACTGATCACAAAGCCTCTGTGTCCCCCTGCCGTGGCTGTCTGGGGACCGGCTTCATTAGATGGAGCTGCCACATAGTGAGCCCGCCCTCTGCAGTCTGCATGGCCTGGAGCCGAGTGCACCCACAGCGGCATTTCGGGCAGGGGGATTGGGGGCCGGGGGCTCCCCGCTCTCCCATGGGGCAGTTGCATGGCCTGCCCGCAGCTCGAACCAATAGGGCTGCCCTTCGCCAGGAGGCGGGGCTTTACTGAAAGGGGGTGGAGCCCAAGCCTCAGGCAGGAGCCACACTGTCAGGAGAAAGAGGGAAGGCAGATGCTGGAAGCCCGCTCTCAGCGACACCAGCGCGCTCACAGACAGCCCACACCCAGCACGCAGTCAGGACACGAGACACACTGGTGAGCACGACAGAGATGAACAGTGGTGGGCGGGTCCTGGCCCGGCGGCTCAGGGCTTGGTACGTCGTCCCATATGCCAAAAGGTCCTGGTTTGATTCCCGGTCAGGATCCATATCCAGTTTCAGGTTGATCCCTGGTTGGGTGCGTACAGTTTTTAGTGTCTATTTCAAGTTCTAGTTTCAAGTTCAGGACTCACCGTGACACATCTTGGGGAGAAGGAGGGCGATGGAAGGCAGGGCCCAGGGTGTGGGGTCCCAGAGCTCCCCTTGCTGCGTGGGCCTCACCTGTGCCCCGAGGACCTGAGGGCTGAGACGCACGCACGTCTCTGATGATTCTGTGTGAATGTCCTTCCCAGGCCCCGGGCCTGTGGCCGCCGGCAAGGCAGGGCCGGGAGGGCCTGAGGGTGGGAGCGGCTGAGGCCCGCAGCACTCTGCTCTGGGGCCCGGGTGCGTCCCTCCGGGCTCAGCTGGGTATCGAGGGACATGACTCCCTTCGCCCGCGGCCAGCCTTCCCACCCGGCTCCCGCTGGGCACACCCAGGTGAGAGGCTCCAGGGAGAACGTTGTTAGGCAACAGCAGCCACAGGGACTCTCGGGCCCACGCCATCCTGGGCGGGGCTGTGGGTGTGGGAGGGCACCGGGAGGGAGGGCTGGGCCCGGGCCTGGGAGCTACGGGCCTGGCCTCATTGGAGGAGAAGGACAGTAATTGGGTGCAGGTGGTTTATGCTGGCTCGGGGGCCAGAGGCCTGTCTCAGCCCCGCTCCTGGCCACGCCGCTGCCTGGCCTTTGGGGCCCAGCCTCCACCACAGTGAGCCCGCCCTCCCGCCCTCCGCCCTGTGGGGCAAACCCAGCCCCTTCCCTGAAGGGCGTCAGGCTGGCCAGGCCACGGACCGGCCGCTCACTTCCTGGAGCGAACCCCTCACATCTGCACAGGCCTCAGGGTTCACAGAGCTGCCCCCCGTCTCCATGAGCACACGTGTGCCCGGGTGGCACGGGCAGTACCTCCCTTTCACAGAGAGGGGCAGAGTCCCTGAAGAGTCCAGTCTCAACGGCACAGAGAGCTGCCACGCACCCCCTTGACTCAGTTAGTGTTCTAGTTACTGACCTAGAAACTACCCCTCCCGCCGCCCCCCAGGCTCCCCCAGTGCCGGGGGGCAGCTCAGGTCGGCTCTGCTCCTCCTGTGCTTCCCCCTCCCACCACCTCCCCGAGAGCCCGAGGGGCCCCGGCTGCTCTGTGCACAGGCTGGGGGCTGGCGGACACGGCTGGATTCGGAGTGGCCGGGCCAGGCCCTCCCCTCCCTGACCCTCTGCCACCCCAGCGCTGGGCACAGCGTGGCCAGACTTTCCAGAGGAGCCCCAGGGTGAGGGCTGGGCTGGGCCGAGTTCTCTGAGGGCCCGTCTGTCACCTCTCCCGCTGGACAGGAAGCTCCCCCAGCCTTTCCCTGCCGCTCCCTGCTCCCTTCCAAGCTGGTTGTTGGGCACCGGCAGCTCCTTGGCTTAGATTGGAGAAGGCAGGGTTCTGAGCCCTCAGACCCACACTTCCTCTGCCCTGTGTCTGCTGTCTGTCTGTCCCCTCTGCTTCATGGCAGAGGAGCAGCTCCAGTGTGGGGGGAGGAGAGGACGGGGGAGGGAGAGGAAGAGGAGCTGCCACAGAGGCCTCGGCCTCGGCGCAGCGCCACTGCTTTCTTTAAAAGGAGAGGGAGCCATCCTCCGGGAAGGGGCAAATGCCCAGCGGGGTCAGAACAGCCCTGCCTCTCAGAGCTCCAGCTCGCCAGCCAGGCGGCCAGGAGACCCGGCAGGGGCAGGCGGGCTCCGGAGGGGTGGTCTGAAAGGCCGCCTGGCCGCCTGTCTCCTCCGTGCAGGTGCAAGGGCTGCTGGGAGGGAGGAGACAGGGAGGTGGGCGCTGAGAGAGGTGAGGAGCAACGCAGTGTGGCCTCATTTCTTTAAAAATTATATATTTAAATTGATTCCAGAGAGGGAGGGCAAGGGCGAGAGAAACTTCGACAATGAGAATCATGGAGCGGCTGCCTCCTGCACGCCCCGCACTGGGGTTTGAGCCCACAGGCCGGGCATGTGACCTGACCGGAATCAAACCCTGATCTCCTGGTTCATAGGTCAACTCTCAACCATTGGGCCATGCCGGCCGGGCCCAGGTGTGACCTCCTTTTAACCTGGAGAGTGTTAGGAAATTCTCAGCTGAGGACCTCTTAGGCTGCCTGAGGGGTCTTTACAGGACCCCCCCCCCCACTCCACCCCCACCCCGCTTCAGAGCAGGGCCCCACACTCACCATGCTGGCTGAGATACTGCTTTCTGTTCGGCCTGGAGCTGAGGTCAGCAGCGGGGGTGAGGAGCAGGGCCGGCTGAGGGCTGGCTGGCTGGGACCCCGGCTGGTCAGCAGGTCAGAGCCCCTGCCCCACCCCCAAAGCTTAGGCAGGAGGAGCCTAGGTGCCCGGCATCCCTCAGCTCAGCGCTCAGCGAGCTGCCCCTCCCGGCTGCTGTCCCGCAGGGAGTGAGGTGGGCCTGTGTCTGGAGGAGTGAGTGGGGCCTGGGCGGTGAAGCAGCCCTCAGGTGGAGCTGCCAAACTGGAAA